AAAAAAAAAAAAAAAAATTGTACTGTTTTGTTCAGAATTTTTTTGATGAATAGAAAGTTCAAAAGAATTTTTTTTTATAAATGTCTTTACTGTTACTTTTGAATTTAATGCATCCTTGTTGAATAAAAGTATCAATTTCTTTCTAAAAAAAAATCCATACATACATACTATATTCATACATACATACAGGTGCATCTCAATAAATTGGAATGTCGTGGAAAAGTTCATTTATTTCAGTCAAGTCCACCTCTGAATGGCTGAAGAAAAACAAAATGAAGACTTTGGAGTGGCCTAGTCAAAGTCCTGACCTGAATCCTATTGAGATGCTGTGGCATGACCTTAAAAAGGCGGTTCATGCTTGAAAACCCTCCAATGTGGCTGAATTACAAGAATTCTGCATAGATGAGTGGACCAAATTTCCTCCACAGCGCTGTAACAGACTCTATGTAAGTTATCGCAAACGCTTGATTGCAGTTGTTGCTGCTAAGGGTGGCCGAACCAGTTATTAGGTTTAGGGGGCATACACTTTTTCACACAGGGCCATGTAGTTTTGGGTTTTGTTTTCCCTTAATAATAAAAACCTTCATTTAAAAACTGCATGTTGTGTTCACTTGTGTTATCTTTTACTAATATTTAAATTTGTTTGATGATCTGAAACATTAAAGTGTGACAAACATGCAAAAAAATAAGAAATCAGGAAGGGGACCAACACTTTTTCACACCACTGTATATATATATTTTGATAATCACTATACAAAACTCTCCTATCCTGTCACTCCTTTTCAGATTATAAAGTTCATCATCAACATCGTTCAGTCAAATGGGATAAAAGGTTACAAAAGAAGACTGTAAGTTTATTCACTTAAAGTACACAAAATGTCTTCGTAGTCAGTGAGAAATGTGATTATTTGCAATTTCAGCTATCTCTTCTCACATTACATTTCCTTTCTCCACACTAACAGCCCCATGATCGACAATTCTGGGGAGTTTCAGTCCGCGCCGAAATACGCCCGTTCCTTCAGTGTGAATCCCACCCTTACCACTTCCCCCCCTACAAGAGAAGAGATCCCTTCGTTGCAAGAGATGCATGCTAAAATCTTTATGTTTGATCTAATTTATTTTTCTAAGTTTGAATTCTTGACTCTCTTCACCTAACACGATGCTGATTAGTAATAAAAGCAGCTTGATTTCTGTCATATTGAAAGTAAGTGACATCTCTGTGGGTTTCTGGGCAGCTGGATGTGTCACCAGCTGACGTGTACTCAAATGGCATGATCATCCCTGACATCACCCACTTGCTGGATCCCACACCTGAGCCTGGCAGGTTAGAGAGCAGCAGTGCATCTGTAGTCTTCATCCTCCACAGAACTCTTGTATAGAACTCTTGTATTTTGTATAATTAGAATCTTCTGAGGTTTTTAAACATACTCCTTTACTGGGTAAAATAAAAAAGGAACTGAAAGTACTTTTCAGGGTTTTACAGTCTATTTTCCACTGTAATTTGTGTTTTCGGTTTTACAGAGAGCCAGTGACAGAAACCCTTCCCGCAACTCACACCACATTTTTATCTCCCGCCTCCCCGACTCTGCCCTCCATGGAGCTGGCATTGACTTTGCTGGATGACCCAGCTGCCCAGGAGTCTGAGGAAATACCCTCAGAAAGGTTAGCTAGCAAACTGATCATGTGTGCCATTTATTTTATAATTATAACAGATCCCTGTTCTGTTTTATCAGTAACTCAATTATTTTCATATGGCTTCACAACTGAGGGGAAAATCTAATTGCGATTTTTCTGATAACATTTTTTAAAATTGTGATTTAAAATGCAGTTTGCCAGATTTGTTGTGCTTATTTTTAGGGCTGATCAGTTTGGCCAAAAATTGTGATTATACATAAATATGACAATAAAAAAAATATTATAATTTTAAAAAGGGGTGGGGGGGGGCGGGGGGGGGGGTTAAGAAATAT